CAGCTTGAAAGATTGCATTATTGTCAGTTAATTTTCGGCTAAAAGATTGCGAAAGGTTTCGGTGTCAGGTTTACATTAATGTACTGGCGTTTTAACAACGATTTGCACAATAGATTTAATTAATAATAACAGCAAAAAACGCCGAAATTTAAAGGACGCATTTCGAAAACTCGATTAACTTATTCGATTACAACACGCGGTGGTTTTATCCGTTGTTGTACCTAGGTACCATTCGAAAAGAAGAAAAAAGAACTGCAAGTTCTGATTTTACTTGCGCTTTTGTTTCCCTAAGACCTTGAAGTGTTTTAGGAGAAAAAGTTTATTACAATAGAATATAACAGTAAATACAATAGCTACTTGAATTAGTCGAAAAAAAAAAAAAACAATCTATCTAATAATAATAAAGTTGTTCACAATCACTTCTTTTCTGCATAAGAACATTAATTTTTCTGCAGATTAAGAAAATTTTATTTATGTACAACAATTAGGATAATAGATAGTAAAATGTACACAAGTACAAGTAAATGTAAACATGGGGTATTTGATACGAAATTGGTGCAGATATGGAAGCCGTGTTGCTGTACAGGATATCGAACGAGATTTGTGTGCATGTGTTTGTGGATATTTGTTAATGTATGTAGGTGTGCCAATTTCCTAGAAAACGTCGTTATCACTGGTGCTATCTGCGGGAGCGATAAAACGAATTCGCCAGTAGTTTTTATAGTGCATTAATATTACAGTTCAATAAGTGCCTACCTAGTAAGTTTACTATATGCATTTTGTGTTAGTGATTTTAGCGGATTTGTTTAAAATTTAAGATTGCTCTTCGTTTGTTTATGTGGAAAAATGGAGGTATGATGGATAGATATTTCGTTGTTTAATTTCTTTGTTTTATTTGTGATTGTTTCTTTTTTTTTGTTTTGTACATCAAAAAGAAGTCGCATTTGTTAATTTAGAGATTCGAAAGCGATCATTATTATATATAGAGAAGGTTATTAGAAATGAGGATGATTATTGGATGTAAAATCGAGGAATAGAGAGCATTATAGACACCAGTAATGAATTGTGAACTATTAACTATAATCATCAAAGAGCAGTATCATATAATGTAATGTAAGTCCAATAAATGACATTTAAATTTATAATATTCAGGGAGTGTTCGGTTTCTTTAAGACAGATTTCAAAAATGCGAGTGATATTTTCAAATATATTTATAACGATTTATCAATGATAAACTTTCATGTTTACTTTTCTTTCTAATAAATTTCGTTTTTTTCGTTTATAAGAAAAGTGAGATAGGATGGTAGGACACCTCATCAAACCTGAAAGACTAGCTAACGACATATTAGAAGCAAAAACAGGAATAAAGAGAGGTAGAAGAAGCCCTAGGATAAGACTGCTCACAAATTCTTAGAGTTGTCCGATGTTTTCGTTTCCGGAAATGCGAAAATTAGCTGACAATAGAAAAAAGTGAATCTGCGTGTCAATCCTGATAAGTCTTTGGCTAATTGCTTCTTCGGTATTATTAGTAAAAAAAATTAGGTTTAACCTTTATACTTGCATTATTATGTGTTTTTATTGTTGAGTTTTGTGAGAAGATTGCCTCTTATTGTTATTAGTGAATGTACGCTAAAATATTTTGTACGTCATCCTTTTTGTATATAAATCGTAAATTTGGAAAGACGTAAGTGCAATTTTTCTGCCGATCCCGTTAAAATAAACGTCTCGCAGTATTAATTACCATCGGGCAGGTAATTAAGGCACGTTTGTACATCAACCGCAGGCGCCTCACATATTTATACGAACCTACGTGTTTTATGTGTGTTAATTTGTCGGTCAGTTTATTAATTTCGTAAATACAAAAGCGTGACGTCACGGGCAACGTCAATCTGATCGGATTTGAGTTATTTTTAATTTTATCTCAGAGCTAACCGGCGGTAAAGCCGATCAGGGCTACGTTACGGAAAAACTTAGTTGAATATAGGTAAGTACCTACAATGGAACTTCTGTAACTCGAACATCTATTAATTCCCTTGACATACGTAGGTACATGTTGTTTTACATTATTTCCAGAGTCTGGCGGTGTTGTATAATTATAGCTCAAATCCCACTTTTCTTCTTCAACCCGTGAAGGAGGTACCGTTATTACCGAAAATGTCGTGTTGTGGCAATCCTATTTGAGCCAAATTCAACCCGAAATTTTACATTGGAATTTCTATTAATTTTCTTCACAATAATCGACGATTCAAGTTTTTCTATCACCAGCATAAATTTTCACTGTGGTAATCAATATTATATTATGGAAGCAAAAAAGCGACTGGGTTAGGTTCATAACTTACAGTAGGAAGTGACAACACAAACGAAATTGTCTGACATCATGATATGAGATTACAAAGTAAGTCAGTAGTAGTGGTCAATATTAGTTTAATAAATGCTAACATTTTGAGCTCCAAATAGGACAAATTCCATAATTATTTTAATGTTAAAAGGAATGGTATACTCAACGATAAAAATTTTAGAAACATTTAGGAACAGGCACCTCCACTCTTTCCTATTTAAGCTAATCTTTGCATTTCGCAAAAACTAGAACATCATTTGCCGACAGTAATCTAATCTACTACTCCCCTTAACTTCTATTTCTGCCTCTAACATGTCTCTGACTAGCCCTTCATGCCTGAGAAGGCGTCCTATACCAACCTATCTCGTCTATTTCTTATCGACTTCCATAAAGTAGGATTTTTAAAATTCTTGGTTTACCAACGTAATGTGTAGATAATATCCAAGCGATAGGGGCACTTTTTTTTTTGACAAAGGAGTAGGTCAACGGATCTACCAATTTGCTAATAGTACCGAGACCAATAAAGTGTACAGTACTGTGCTTTTAAGACTAAAACATCATTATATTCTTCCTTTTTCTTAAAAACAGAAAAAAAATGTTAATCTTATGTTTTCTGTTTTGTACAGCAAGAAACAAATAATTCATTAGCTTCTTGTTTTTATTTTGTTTGATTGGTGATTATTATCTATGTATGTATTTATGCTAGCACGTACTAAGAGCTAATGGGCGTCCGTGTTAAGTTTGAGCAATAATACCATGCCATCCGCTTAATCCGATTATGTCGTAAAAAAACTTCCGAAAATGGAGAGTTAATAGCATTAAAAAAATTGGACGCTAATGGGCCCAGTAAAGTGTGTAATAATGAAAACAAATTGTTTAATTTAAATTCCGGATAATCTTTATCTCGCTCGCCTTTAAAAATAACGACTATCCGACAACAACAATTCATTCGTTTGTTCAAATTGTAAAAATTGCTTTTATTCTTGTAAGCATATGTGAAATAACTTGATTCTGTTTTAATTCTGAAGCTTACAGTAGTTATGTGAGGACGTTTGCCTGAACTTGGCAGAAACACTACGGTGATTAATCTGTTAATTAAATAAATAAACTCATTTGTAACCAGAAATATATTCTTAAAGTATAATGCTTTCATTTTATTTCTTTTTGCAGACTAAAAAGTTGTAAGTGTATAGTTAATATGAAATCATCTTCGTGCCTAAAACTTCCACCATTACCAAAATGTATGGATTAGGTACCGTCTTATTTTTTTTTTCTTTTAATTTTTGAAATTAGCGAGAAGTTCAAAACAATAGCTCAACCTCCTATGCGACAAGAGTCTCGCAGAGACAGATGTGAAAAAAGACGGAATAATTATTAAGGGACAGCCAATTTGTGTTTAGACAAAATAGGGAAGCTATAGGAAAGAGCGTGTCCATAGGATTAGTAATGTATTTTGCATTTTACAAATAGAAAATACGTTTAAAAAAATATTTTAAATAAAATACAAAATGCTTTTCCAAAAAAAAGTATTTAAGTGCAAGATGAAAATTGGAATTTTTAATTTCGTATTTGCATTTTAAATACAAGTATTTCAAATAAATCACATATCTGGTGTCCAACACCCTTAGCATTTACAACCTTATGATGATGATCTGTTTAAAGGAAGTAACGAACATGAAAACGATCGCGGCAGTGAGATTGTAAACGGGTACATCCCCTCGGAAAGAATTATTAATAGAGTCTAAATGTGCTTACTTTCGTTTGTTGATATGTTTGTAATGAACAAATGATGCGGAGACACCGACTAAAAGTCGTGTTATAAATGATTCTCAAATGGGGGCACTGTCCATGTAGACAGGTATTAATTTTCATGACAGGCATTAGTTTACTGGAGCTGTCGCGTTCCGTAAGGAATTGTTATGGTAAGGTATTTTGAAACAGATAGCCGGGATGGTGCAATAAATCGTCAAGAGAAGAAAAGAAATGTGCGGTTAGTACACAGATGTATTGTACAACACACACGTATTATGTGTAGATAAAAAGTTTTTAAAAATCTCCCAACAATAATAACAATAATAAATTAGTATGAGAAATTATTTTATTTAAAATAATTATAACTTGCAAATTTTACTCATATTATTTCTCATTTAAAATAGATGAGTGTAACAGTGATATGTTGAATAGATTTTTAAATTCCTTAAATTACATATTCAAAACTTATCGTATTTGATATGTACCTATCTAATGATAAGGTAAATTTCGTATTAGTTCATTATGAAATCTTTAATTTAATTTATTTAATTGTTTTGTTTGATTTGTTTTATTGATCTTTCTAAATTAATAATATTCGTCTACCATCATGCTCATGATGCCAATAGATTTGTAGAAATCCTTAAAAAAAATGTAGTAGTGTGAATATTATTATAAGATTGTTGTTAATTTGTTTACCGTCCTAATCATGAGATAATGAGCTATCTCCTATCTAATCAATCAGTTCAGACTTGTAGAAAATTTTAAAACCGTTGGGAGTGTCTGCTAAAATTTGTGTTTCACTGATTGCAGTCTAAGCATTAACGCGTCCGAATTATGTGTTATTACTAATTAGATTTGTGGTTAATTTAACAATCGATATTGCCGTTAATACGAGTACATTTTGTTACAGGCACATACAACCGGGATAGTACCTTTACCTCTGGGAAGCAGGGGTCCTAGAAGTCTTTATTTAAAGAGGCATGGTGGCTCTTTTGGATTCACATTACGCCATTTCATCGTGTATCCCCCAGATGGAATCGAGGTATTTGCATGAAATTTTTAAAATCGTTTAGGTACCTGTGTGTACAATTTGTTTTCGACTTCTTCGTTGTCTCAGTTTATTTATTCTGAAATTTATTACTACAATCAGTTATTTTTTATGTACCTACGGTGTCATTTTTTTGAAACTGGATTGATTATCATTATAGTAGATAATGACGTAAAAACGTGGTCGATATGTTGTATGAGAATTTTTCGATCTTAGACGTCTTTGGACAGACAAGCAGCGGCTGTTGGTGCTCTCAACAAGCCGATGGACACGATTTTCGTAAAGAACGTGGCTGCTAGAGGTCCCGCACATTTGTCTGGTTTGCAAAAGGGTGACAGGATCGTCGCTGTAAACGGCGTCCCAGTTGTCGACAGGAGTTACGCTCAGGTCGTTCATCTCATCCAACACGGTCCCGATTATTTGCATCTTCTGGTTGTTCCAAAAGAGGAAGACGTGTTACAAAAGGTATTGATTGATTTCCGAGTGTCTTTCGAATGTCCAGGGGGCTTATGCCAAAAAATTTCCCTTTCAGTTTTTCGCCGACGCTGCTCATAATCCGATCAGCAATCAGTTGCCCAAACAGCAACAGGAGCAGCTTATCTATCCGCATCTCAATCCCAATCCGTATCACGATTCGCACTTTCAAGTCGACGTGAACTCGTGGAAGTCTCTGCAGGAACCGACGTACACTTCTATAGACTACGATAGGTTAGGACGTCAAAACATCTACTCGAGAACTCCTCATCAGCTGCAGCAGCATCAACAACAAGTGATTAGAAATAATTCCCGCGAACAGCACTCCCATAAGAGACCTCCCCAAGAACATCAGAAACATATCTATGCCGAACTTTGCCCCGATGACTCCATCCAGAGGCCGAAGGCGCAACCCCAGGTGCCCCTTTACAGGAAAATGGGTCGACGGGCCAGCGAGGGTAACGTGCTCTACGATCCGGACTATTGCGAGAATCCCAGATTTGTGAACGGAAATGAAATGGCTGTAAATAGTTTAAGAACTAAATGTGACAGTGTTGTTAATAATACGACTAGCACGATGCCGGTGGCCAGTTACGTGAATTCGGCAGCCTACAGGCTCAGTCTTGACGGAGGTCGAAGGGAATCGTCCTCTTCACTCGGCTCGTCATTTGCCGATGGCAGCAAAGACAGTTTGAGCTCGTTCGATTCCACATCGACCTTAACGGGTCATGAAACGGACGATTCGGTGATAATGAACCGTTTGAGGAGGAACTTTCAGCAGAAAGAGGAGTTCCTTAGGAGCAAACCTATCGAAGTAATCCAACGAGAGTTTTACGGGAGGCCGAAGAAACTGGAAAAACCCATGTGGCCTCCGAACGAAACCGATAAACAAAACATGAACTCCCAAAAAAATAAAATGGACGTAGACAAAGAGTTGGATTATATTACGTCTACCAGGAATGGTGGTGGTGGTGGTAATATCAGTAGTTATCCTCAACAGAAAGGAGTTACGTCTCCTAAAGAAAATTTGAGATTCACCCCAGAAAGTGCCAAGCCTCAGGAAGGGTCAGTAGCACCCACAGGTCTGATGGACAGTTCAACAGGAGCCCAAGAATCTGCATCCACTAACGAGTGCATCGAAACAGACAAAAGGTATGTTGTTTTATGCAGAATCCTGTGGAGAACATCGTCTTTTGTCCCACAAATCTTATTTTATTTTCGGGGCGTTTTTGGAAAGAGGTGGTATTTGTTCGCTTTCAGAATGCCTCTCCCAAATCTCCAAATGGTGTCCAAACGTGCCAAACAGTTCGAGTCGGGCAAGCCGTTGCCCGAAGACGACCCCATGGCAAACGACCGCACCAGCTTCTACAAAAGTGAACTGGCACGGTTGAGCAACAAGCGCGTGGTCCCTAACGTAACAGACCGTGCTCACGAGTTCGAGTCGAGGGCTTCGTCCCTGGAACCGCGAAGGGATCCAAGCGGCAGCTCGACCAATTCGTTCGCCTCGACCAAAACCACCAGCGAAAATAGAAGGGTGCATAGGGACAGTCGGTCGTTAGAAAGCTCAGGTAGGATATCTTTTTTTTTTTGTTAGTTTTTCTTCAATTTTCTGAAATTGCGGATTGCCGGACTCCTACATTCGTATGTTTTGTAAATGTGTTTCTCAATTTTATTTAGGAAGTACGACAAGTGTTTGCAGTGACGCATCGCAAAAGCTTTCGGGCAACGTGTCAATACCCATCGGGGGTAAATATATTCATGTACCACCGCCAGCAGATTATGTTCAGAAAGGTTAGAGTTTGGACTGTTCGCGGCTTATCAAAATAACTGCAACAATTCTCGTTACTAACATTGTGGCTATTCGAAGATAATTTTGTGTTCTTTTAATAATTTTATGATGCCAAGTGTCAAATATTTCCTAACAATTTGAAAGGTCGCGTGATGATCGGCGACTGGTAATTGTTGATGTGGTTTTTCTTGCACGTTTCTTGTTAATTCCAGATGTGCCGGATGTAGAGAACAGTGTAACTCGACAACATATGCGTTCGAATTCGGCAGACTCGTGGGCCTCGGCGGTAGAGGAGCTGCCCCCCTTGAGCAAGTCCGAATCACTTACGAAACAAGCGCAAGGTGATTTTTCGTCTCTTTCTATTTTTTTTTTCGTCACGTAGTTTTTGTTGTTGACGTAATTTTTGTTTTTGTCGCTGCAAGCTGGTAGTAGATAATATATATTAGATCGATTAAATCCATGGCAAAATTATCTTTATTTTTTCTCCCGTTAAAGAGAAAGTAAGCAAAACGATACAGGAAGCCATGGAGGGTATGCCATCGTTGATACCGAAATCACCCCCGATCGACAAGTTCCTGACTCCTCAATCTCCGCCCCCTCTCATACCAGAACCGGTCGAAGATATGCACACTTCCTCCCAACCGTCTTCGCCCAAATCCCCCCCAATTCGTCCTAACCATCTGACCCTACCGTTCCCCGTTAGGCCTGCCAGAAAACACGGATCTGCTTCGACCCGATCATTATCTCCAGGTAGAAATTAATGAGTTCCGCTTTTGGGGAAATGATTTTATTTTTGCTTGATTCCGAACGAGTTTCTAGGGTCTTGGAGTGCTAAAAGGTTTAAACTAATCATTTACGAAAACATCGCTCTAACAACCGATCTGATTTTGCTTTATTCGTCACGATACTGATATGCCTATTAGGGTCCCGAAACAAAAATGATAAAGATCTGTTAATTCTATTGCAAAGAAATCGAAAATGGTAGATTGTGGTGGGATGGTTATTCATAAATAAATTTTTCCTTGGATTAATAACCAAAAATACAATCATCTAAAAAGTAAAACGAAGTAGGACACAAGGGAAATATAAATTTTCGAAATTAACAAGTCAAAATTGTTTTGGTTGAGTATTTATATATTTACGTCTTTAATACGTAATTGTCTTATGTAGTCTGAAGTCTTAAATCAATTCATGTCTTAAATAGTGATTTTTTGCAAAAAAAAAATAAAAAAATTATGACGAACTAATTACAGCTAATTATTATCGTTCCATATTAATGGACGACGTCGTCGTAAAATATACTAAGTATACATAATAATTGATGTTAAATTTGTGGAAGATACCGTAAAAACCCCGTGCATGTATAAGTACGTATAATGTACACAACAATAAACTCAAATAGGTCGACATTGATAATAAAATTGGATTTATGATTTGTCTTTTTGTTTATTTTATTAACCACAAAAAATTACTAGATGCTTGGATAAATCTATTGTTTTAGTTGCTTTCTTGCTACTAATAGGTAACAGTGATTTGTTGGTTTTGCTTGATGGCTTTGATATCATCATCATCATTAGTGTTATTATTTTATCAGTGTCACAGCAAAAACCTTTGATTTGAATCGTTGGTATTCGTAAAGTACGTATATTTTTCTATTCGATTTTTATTCTGTTGCAGCCTACTTCCCCAATTCAGATCAGCCCGTAGTTTTAAGAAGGAAAAAACACAACGATCTTAGTAAGTATAACACATCTGTCAAAATTTTTATTATTAAACCGTTTAATTCCCGGAATAATAAGTTTATCTATTTATAATTTTCTTTTGTTTCAGCTGACGAAGACAAAATTGTCAGAAGAGAGTCGTACCTGAAAGCGACCGGTAGTGGGAGGATGTACGTTGACGAGGACGAGGACAATGCATCTCCTATCTCACACAGACAGTAAGTCTTTCGTTTTTTACTTTACGTCTTAGGGGGTCGTACTCTTGGTATTGTTAATAATAGATATTTAGTTGTAGTGGAGCCTCTAAACTGATCGATTTAGAAATTACTTGATTAATTTTACTTCTTAGAATTACTTATACATATAATAGTATAATATATTTGGGGAAGTGCTTATTATTATTTTTTTTTATCTGAAAAATTGGTTCCACACCTTTACATACAAGGGAGAAAAAAAAAACAAAAGGCGTTTAGATATTCTGCACCCTGTTACTATCGTTCTTACTTTTCACTGTAGTGCCCATAGAAAGTGGCGTCCTCCCCTGTTTCCCGGGGACATTCAGCAACTTCGCAAGCTTTTCGAAGAAGCTGCTTCATCTCTTGGGTGAGCTTTGTAAAAACAGAAACAAAAACTAAAACAATCGACAATTGCTGATGTGCTGTATTTACTAACACGTTTGCAAAATGCCTGTAAACAAACAAAACAACAAAGACGTTTTTCTTTTTTCTATTTGTAAAATAACAGCTGACGTAACCAGTGCATACTAAACTTTTATTTATGCCTACAGACTGGTTTATATTATCAAATGAGCCGTAGGATGTATAAATTTAAATAAAATTACTTTGGCATAAGTGCAAAAAAATGCAAAATATTGATTTTTACAACGATGATGTTAAAAAATTTGATTTTTTTGGAATGATTTGAGTATTAGTATAAATTATTGAAATGATTTCAGATTTAGTTGTTGTAACAGTAAATTATCTAATTTCGATGTCTAATTGAAAAATCTGTCCCAGTATTTATCAGCCACCCTGTATTAGCATAGTCAATGCCATTATTAACATTTTGAAGCCTGGAAGTGCTTTTCTATTATCTCTTATTTAGGATATCTATTTGTGTGTGTTACTGGTCAAACCCGATTTCAGAATAAAATAGTTTTGCCTAGGTCAAACTAGTTTATCTTATAGGATGAACCAACCAAGCGCAATTTCAGTATAAATTAGTTTTGCCTAGACGAAACAAGTTCGTCTGCAGAGCGATAGGATAAACCTATTTTGCCTAATATAATCCCAAATTGGTTGTAACGAGTCAAGCCTAATTTCAGAATATTTTTTTTTCACATTCATAAGTCAAACTATTTCATTTTTAGAGTGATATTTCAGAATAAAATACTTTTGCCTAGGTCAAACTAGTTTATCTTATAGGCTGAACCAGTTTGGTCTGACCTGAACCCAAACTGGTTTATCTTAAAATGTAATAAGCCAAGCGCAATTTCAATATAAATTAGTTTTGCCTAAACGAAACAAGTTCGTTTGAAGAACGATTGGATGAACTAGTCTGATATTGTCTAAACCTAAACTGGTTTGTCCTGAAACATAATGAGTCAAACCCAATTTCAATATAAATTGCTTTTGCCTTGGCGAAACTAGTTCATCTGAAGAGCGATAGGACGAACCTGTTTTGCCTAATATAATCCCAAATTGGTTTGTCCTAAAATGCAAGGAGCCAAGCTCAATTTCAGCATAATTTACTTTTATTTTGGTCAAACTATTTCATATGAAAAGTGATAGGATGAACCAGTTTGGCCTAATTGCAACCCAAACTTGTTTGTCCTGAAACGTAATGGTGCCAAGCCCAATTTCAGCATTAATTATTTTTGCCTAGTTCAAACTAGTTCGTCTGAAAAGCGATAGGATGAACCAGTCTGGCCTAGCCTAAATCCAAACTGGTTTATCTTAAAATGTAATGAGCGAAATCCAATCTCCGTATAAATTACATTAACTAGGTCAAACTATTTGGACTACTGAAGAGCGGTAGGATGAACCAGTTTGGCCTGGTGTAAACTCAAACTGGTTTGTCCTGAAGTGTAGTGAACCAGGTCATATTTCAGTATAAACTACCTTTGTCCAGATCAACCTTGGAATCGTTTTTTGGCCAATAACGTGTACAAAAAGGGTAGAAAAATTTTGCACGATCTGCTTTTAGCTTACGTATCTACTAACGAAACGATAATAACTGTCTATTAATTACTATTTATGCATGTATTTTATTTTCCATTTCTTTGAATGACTGCCTTGGCCTCGTAGCAGATAATTTTTTAATATGAGCCTACTTATAAATGGAAAATATAAGTGAACGATTTTATTAGGTACTATTGTTTTGTTTATCTCCTCCAAAATAATAATTTAATAACTGCATGTACTTATTAAGGACATTTTTTGTAAGAAATGTGCTAAGTAGATGTTAATGTAACCGTTCCATTTTTCCTTTTATTGTAGAGGCAGCACGAGTGAAGGCAGCAGTGGCAACGTGTCGCTCGAGAGGGACAAATCGTCGTATCCGAGCAGCCCCTTAGACAAAGACAGGGTAATCAAAGAAGGCCCTTTGCAGTGTAAAATTGCAGAAATTGATGGCAAGGTGAGCGTTCTATTGTTTCTTTTTTGCATCGTAAATAACTATTTTTCTCTTTTGTTTTTATTGTCTCATTTTTTGTTTTGGAATATTGTTGGATATTTATTTTTGTTTTTTTGTTTTTTTAGCGTGCTGCAGATAGGTCGTGGAAGCAGGTTTGGGCTGTACTACGAGGACCTAGGTTGTACTTCTACAAGGAAAGGAACCATCAGGTAGGATTTTTTAATGTTTTATTATCTCACGCGGTTTTAACACTCCGAACAATAGAGGAAATGATGTTTTTAGACGTCATTATCAATTTTTTACAAAATCGCTGGCAGGAATTTAGAAAAAGTTTTTAGTGCATATTTTATGTTTTGTGTGGGAAGTGGAGGTATTAATTTAAATTCCAAATTAAAAATACCAAATTTTTTTCTAAATTACATTTTTATTCGTAATGGTTTACCTGACTCTCGAATTATACTATTTAGTATGTATAAGTAACATTAATATATTAAATTTTGGCGAAAACCGCATCAAAATCGATTCACAAATAAGCCAGTTACTTTTTTTAATGTTGATCAAAATTATGAATGGCGCTTAAAAATTGTAAGGTGAATGAACTTTATTACACCCTCGCTTTAAGTGGAATTCCTATGACGTACGAGTTTTATCTGACCCAGTTTCTGATTGGCTATCAAATTGGCGCGCCAGGTAAAGCCAATCAGGTACCTTGTATGGCGTTATAACAAAGGAACGGTGGCGCTAAAGTTTAGTCACCCGCGATGCCTGGTAGGGTGTACATCGTTCCTCAGGTCTTATGTCAAAATTACGTAAAAATGTATGTTTTAAATAGGTGCATTTACGCAAATAATACAATCTCTGATTAACTTATTAAATAAAAAGGACATTAGGTACATAAAATAAGTTCCATTAATGTACCTATTGATCTTTTTATTGATAATTGTTACTTTTAGAACTCGTGAGAGATTATATGTACTCCTGTTGTGTCAGGTAGGTGAAGTAGAAGTAGTAAATTTCTTTCAATTAATTAGCAATAGAAAAAGCGATAAGTCTTAAAGCTGTGACACATTTTATTGCCCATATTTCTCCTTGGAATTCGTAATCCTAAGCGTTACACACAGACACATACCTAGTGTCCTCTTTATTCGGATTCAATTTTTTTCTGCTTGCGTCTTCAAGAATTAGATCGATGTCGGCATCATTCTCAGGATAGACAGAGAAAGATCTGTGACGAGTCATCATTGTGCCCCAGTGTCTCGTAGAGAGCACCTACGCGCTATTGTTTTCGTCCCGCTTTCGTCTGTTGTCTTTTCTCGCAGCGAATAGAAAAAACAAACGAGCATACGATACATACGTCATGCTGAGAGCGCATGAATAAAATTTGAAACTAACTACGATGACAATCGCGAAAAACAATAGACGAAAGTGGACGCATTTTTTTCGTGAAAGTCTCGTCGCAATTGTAGGTAGGTACGTACACGAATAAAAAAAAAAAACAAAAAGCGAAACGACGAAACAGACAGCCACTCGACAACGATGGTTCTTTTGTTTTGATATCAAATGCAGGTGGAGAAGCATGTATGACTGTCTACCTATTGTTTTTGCCTGGAACATTCAATGTATAATAAGTCAACACTTTCACAAAACCTAAATATGAAGGATGGTGGGGAATTGTTTGTAATCGAGGCGTAATTGACAAATTTTCCATTAACGCATCAAAAATATTTCAGTCGTTTTATTAAATTTTTTACGGCATTTTTGATAGTACATACCTAGGTTGTTGCGAAAGAAAGGCGGCCGGTTGTTTATGCTGATGTAACTTATAAATTATCGATGAGATGTTATCTCGTACCTACATAGCAATAGTATGTTTTGGAAAACCTAAAAATCAAAGCGTCTTTACGCCCAATGAATGTATTACTAATACGACGTACAGTATTGAGCAATAATTATCGTATTTCGTATTTTAAAATGTACTTTGTAATTAAACGATGGTATCGAAGTATTAGAATTGACCGGTTGTTTTCGATATCATCTACTTATTAAAATTCATTTCCTATTACTCGCGCCATGTGGAAATACCGTTTCATTGCGGAATAAACAGTACAGTGTGTACAAAATAAAATTAATTAATTAATTAAATGCTTAATTGTATTATTTATTTTCTTAAAAAAATATTATCGCAAAACAACATAAAATAAAAANTAATCTAAAATATATAAATATTTACGCTAACCTCTAACGCATAAATTATCTTAGAATTAGAAATTTAAAAAATTATTTTTGGCAATGATTTAATTTATTCTTTATGTCATCTGATAACAACCGATGAACGAGACAAGTAAAAAGCGTAATGGCCGACCATGACAACAATGCGACAACAATTAAAAAAGAATGATGGCCGACTATGACGACAACTAAAAAAGCATGATGGCCGACTGTGACAACAATTAAAAAAGCATGATGGCCGACTGCGGCAACAATACTATAACAATTAGAAAAGAATGATGGCTGACAGTAGGGTTTGCGCCTAATAAGTTTTCTGTTTTGATATATATGTACACATGTCGTTGATTGTTAAATGTCACATTTTTCACTGAATCGACAAATAGAGCACCTATCAGTGAGTTTAATTGGTGTTCGTATTTCGTTTGCATGTCATAAAAACTTCGTGTAACTAAATGAAGGTTATAATTAGATGCACGATGCACGCAAACATTCAAAGGTCTGTAAAAAGTGTGTTACCTCACCGGAACGGTTTCAAAACTTCCTCACGAAACTGCTTATTACATTATTATCAAGTACCAGATATGTGATACATATTATCATTTCGTTAATTTATATGTATACTTATGTGGTTGGCATTACTATTTCGTTGTTTTCGAAACAATAGAACGATTAATTATGAAATATCCACTTACTACGGAACACACTGTAAGTAATACAAACCTTTTAAATTAGAAAAGTAAATTAGAAATTTTATTATAACTAAAAATCAACAGGTATTCAAATCTGATGTAGTTATAAAAACATTATCCCATATCTTTATTTGGCATTAATGCATTATCCTCTTTTTTATTTATTTAATTTATCCGTTATGTCATGTGATAACAATCGATGAACGTAGAAAAGTATAATGGCCGACTACGGCAACAATACGATAATTAGAAAAGCATGATGGCCGACTGCGGTAACAATGCGACAACAATTAAAAATGAATGATGACCGACAGTAGGGTTTGCATCGAATAAATTTTCTGTTTTGAGAGTATCACTAAATAGTATATATCTTTCTAATCTGTTTAATTATAATTAAATAATTAGCCAGACTAAGAAACCATATATTTCGTACAAAAACTACTTCATTCTTTATAGGAAACTTGAAAAGTTCCTTCTGTAAAAATAGAAACTGGCAAAAACAACACAAAAAACAAAAACTAATGCCCTGTGCTGACTCAGATTGGATTATTAAATTCACTTATTTTTCAATGTACGAAATTAACATTCCACGACTTAAAGAAAAATTTCAAACAGAAGGTAGACGACGTTAAACTCTTTCCTGAACTTCATAATTCAATTTAGATTTTTAAAATATTTTCGTAGAAATTTTTTTTCCTGTGTTTTATTGCACACATTTAGACACATATTATTTGTATCTAATAAATTTCTGTCAAGGATTTCCTGTCTTGTGGCAAATGTTATAAATCGTTCTTCATTTCCTACGAGATAAATTTGAAATCGTTTTACAATGCGAAAATTGGCGTAGGCAATTACTAATTCGAAATATGCAATAATATAAGCGGTTCTGTTGCTCCACAAACTGTCGTCGTTTATTTCGTTTTATCACGTGTGATAAGCAATTACGACGATATGAATGAGAAAGAGGGAAATGATATGTAAATTCAGACGGTGCAGGTGCGTTGTTTTTTTTCATATGGGAAGGGTACGCAATGGTATGGATAGGTACAGTACATAAACGTGTATTTCAGTACTCACAAGTCTGAACATCCGGTAGGTATCATTTGACCAGGTGGAAATCTAGATACATATATGAATAAGAACAAGAAGAAAATCTTGGTTAGGTGAATATGTACATAGAACATTACACGTCAAACCGTGTAATGGTCGTGTAGTAATTTCAATTTTTGAATTAAGTTTCGTCATCTTTTTGCACGTAGGTATGAGCAAACTGCACCTGCTTTTTTCTATTAACCAGTCAGCAAATAGAAATTTGTATTAGAGTAGCTCCGTTATGTTTATTAATTGTAGTCTAACATGTATGCGATTGCGATGTTTCTAAGTATTAGTGCAATTCGTTCGGCAAATTTCGCGACTCGCTTGTGCAATTGTGTCGTGCATTGGCGAGTGTTACGACCACGCCTCGTCGATTTACCATGTCCGCGCGCATTAAAAATCGCCTTATTAACCCGTAATTGCTCATTAAATAAATAACATCGTAATTAATTCAAAAAGCCGAGGCCTGTAAATTACCTGTATGTATTATTTATATACTCCCCTTCAAGTTCCACACAGCTTACACGTATGTACCTAACTGGTTGATTGATGTGCGTTCTGTACTTGAATGAATGAATGGACCGGTGGACATAATCTTTGGAACAGGTACAGCTAGTTCGAAATCTGATGGGCCTTCGTATACGTAAGAGGGAGGCCCTATTACATTCATATTGTAAATTATGAAAACAATAACTCGGAAAATACTACAAATGACGCGGTAAACGCCATCTGTAGTACGATGCTACATTTTAGGATTACGTATGCTCCAACAAGGTCCATTTAAATATATGGATATCTACTTGCTGAAACGAATCCCGGCGTAGCTAACCCAACGTGATAGGCACGTTACCATAATCGAATAAAATAATTCGAAGTGGTCTGTATTCTGTCGAAACTGCCAGACGCGGATCTTTTTGGATCTCATCAGTGCGTCTGTTGGAGCATACGGAATCCTAAAATGTAGCATAGCACTACAGATGGCGTTTACCGTGCCATTTGTAGTATTTTCTAAAACGCGCTGTTAAGACAGAAGGTAAAGGGTGGTCTGTGTTCTGTCGGAGCTGTCTGCGACGCGCTGATGAGATCCAAAAAGATCGAAATCGCGATCCGCGTTTGGCAGTTTCTGCAGAATACAGACCACTTCGAATTATTTTATTAATAACTCGTCTGTTAACTGTATGTCATGGGATTCTAAA